CTGCTTGCCAAATACGTGAATCCTTCCTCTCTCTTTCGCTGGCATTGGCACAGGCGAATGGTTGGGGACCGAGCATGAAAGGAGCGAGCGAGCGAGTTTCGGATGGAAAAGGGAAAAGGGGGGTGGAAGGGAGGAAAACAACAACAAAACCCCCCAAAACCAAAACAAAACCCAGCCCCAACGCCTGAGCACTTTGGGTCCTGCCAGCGGCGGAGCACAGTCGGTTCCAGCGCGGCGTCCGCCCCTTCCCCTAGGCCTGCGCTCGCCCTCCGCCCGGGCGGAGGGACCCGCAGCTAACTTGGCATCTTGGCGCCGCTGCCAGCACCGCAAAGCCCTCCCCCCCTTTCTGCCGCTCCTCTCCCTCTCTCTGGGTTTTCTTCCTTCCTTCCTTCCTTCCTCCCTCTGTTTGTCTTTTTTTTTCTGGAGGGGCCGTTTGGGAAATATATTTATTTTGACCTGCCGCGGGGTTTCTCAGTTAGAGTATTGGGGTTCTACAGATCCATCACGCTGTGCCCCACACCTCCAGCTCCAGCCTCCTTCCGCCCCTCCCCTATTTCCATCCTTCCTGCCCCCCATTTTTAAAAAATTCCCTATTCCCTCCACAAGCGAGAACTCCCCCAAGCAAGCACCCCCATTCCTCCCCCCCTTTCTCCTCCCTTTAAAATTTCTACCTTCCCTCCTCCTTGTCCCCTCCTCCCCCTCCGGCTCCCAGCCCCCACCTCCTCTTCCCTCCCCCCTCCCCCCGCAACTCGGTTGAGTCCAGAATTTCCGAATCGGGGGCTTAGCTTTGCCGGAATGAGACGGAGCAATGGTAATTATGGTGCTTTTTGTCATATTTCGTTTGGGGGGAGGCAGCTTGAGGAAGAGCAGATCTTCCAAACGAAAACACTCCCCCACCTGCCGGTGAAGAGGTTAACCCGAGACTCAAAGTACAGTGAGGGGGGCAGGTCAGGACGGGGGCCAATTTTGTCTTTAACCCCAGGGCCAGCAGTGGAAAAGTAGCAGAGTTTCGAGTGGCGAGTTCCAAGGGGTGAATCGTCTTTTGCCTTTTTGCAGCCGTGGGAGGGGAAGGCAGAAGATGGGAAAGATTTCAGAGAAAATCAACTTCCACCGCTGGCCCAGCTCTTCCGGGCCGGTCTCGTGTGGCAGGCTGGGTCGGTCGCCTTTCTCAGGGCTGAGTGCCTCGTGCCGCGCGACGCGACCGGCCAGGGGAAGTGGTGAAAAACTCGCGGTCCTTCGATTCCTCGTTCTAACCTTTCCCCCTCCTCTTTTGTGTTGTCCCCTCTTTTCCCCCTCTCCCACCCCCCGTAGGATGAATTCCACCCGTTCATTGAAGCTCTCCTCCCTCATGTGCGGGCCTTCTCCTACACATGGTTCAACCTGCAAGCCAGGAAGCGCAAGTACTTCAAGAAGCACGAGAAGCGGATGTCCAAGGATGAGGAGCGCGCCGTGAAGGATGAGCTGCTGGGGGAAAAGCCAGAGATCAAGCAGAAATGGGCATCGCGGCTGCTGGCCAAGCTCCGCAAAGACATCCGCCCTGAGTTCCGGGAGGATTTTGTCCTGACCATCACCGGTAAGAAAGCGCCGTGCTGCGTCCTCTCCAACCCGGACCAGAAGGGCAAAATCCGCAGGATTGACTGCCTGAGGCAGGCCGACAAGGTGTGGAGACTGGATCTTGTAATGGTCATCTTGTTCAAAGGGATCCCGCTCGAAAGTACTGACGGGGAGCGGTTGTACAAATCCCCGCAGTGCTCCAACCCGGGCCTCTGTGTCCAGCCGCACCACATTGGAGTCACAATTAAAGAACTGGATCTTTACTTGGCGTATTTTGTTCACACTCCTGGTAAGTCTGCTTCCCACAACCGGTCCCCATCACTGCTACTTGTTCTGGTGTTGAATTTCCCCAGGGATCTGGCTGGTTCCTTCTCTCTTTCTTTTCTCATTCCCTCCTCCAACCTTTATCTCCGTCATTAACAAATTGGCCTCTGTTATTTTCTTGTGCCAATGCCCCGTGGGCCTCAGCGCCTTCTGGAGGGGCTTGTGGTTTGCCCCTCGTCTTCGTACCCACGATGCGTGGTGAGACGCCCCCAGTTTTGCACGGAGGTGGGGAGGGGCAGTCGCTCGTGCACCCGTACCCGTGAAATGCCCACTACTCTGCAAACGGCGACTTCAGAAACAAAAAGAAAGAGAGAAAAGATTCAGTCCGGGAGGGGAAGCGGCGCAGTTTCATTCAGGGGAGCTTTCCTTTCCCTTTTGCTTTGATGGTCACCGAGAACCCGTCTGGATTTTGTTGGTTTCTTTTGTTGGCTGAGCGGGGGGCCGAGGGGGGAGGCTGTGCCGGTGGCAGGGGAACCGCAGCACATCCAACTCGGCGGTGCTGGGCACTTTCCCACTGTGTGGTGGTGGCAGCAATCCGGCAATTTGAGTGGGCACCGTCCCAGGCAGGAAGCTGGTTCTCGCGAGTTCCTCCTCTCGTTTGCCCCTGCCCCAGACACTGTTGTCTTCCAGATTCCCCCTCTGTCTCTGGGTTCTTCTTGTCTTTTTTGGAAAGTGGGGCTCTCTGGGGGCGGGCGGGGTGGGTCGTCAGATCCTCCCTTCGCAATTGTCTTTTGGCTTTGGTTTGGCTTCCAATTGAAACAGAAAGGCCTGGTTAATTTTTAGCCTTTGCCCGGATACACCCAATTTGCTGCAGACTTTGAAATCCAAACGGGCCGGTGGAGTGTGATCCCGTGTTTACATTTTGCTCAACTAACTTGTAATGAAGAGGTTGACCAGAATTTCCTCCTCCTCTCCCCCTCCCTTGCCCTGTCTGTCTCTGGCTGCGTTTCTCTCCTATTTCTGTCTTTCCTTCTGTGACTTTCCCGCTTTCTGTCTTTCTTTCTCGGATTCCTCTTGCCTTTCTGTCTTTTCCTGCTCTCTTCCCTCGGGTCTCCCGCTGCATCCAAACTTCCCCAGCCTTTCACAGGGACCTTAGTTACTGCTCCCTCCTTTTCTTCCCGTCTCTCACTGTCCTCGTCAGAACGGAGGCAGCGACCAGAGCAGATCTTGCAGGATTCGGGCTTCAGCTGTGCTGGGCCTTAGCAATGGTTTCCTTGCGAGCGTCTGTCTCCTAAGTGGTTTGTATTTTATATCTCCCACCGTCCTGCCAGGGAGGCCGTTTTGCCTCTGGCTTGTGTGCGTGCGCCAGGGCAGCATCTGTGCGCGCAGGTTTGGTAGGCCTAGCGCGCTTGCTGCCATACAGCTCGGGATCGCCGGCCGTCCCCCGCGCACAATTTGTTAAAAGAACGAACCTGCAAAATGAAATAAAACAGGGAAAGGTCGGGCATGTAGATCCGCACACGCAACCCCTCGCACACGTGTGTGCAAACACTAATGCGCGACACGGTCATGCACACACAGAGCATCAGCACGCAAACAAACACCCGCCTGCCGAACCCTGGCACGGAACCCCAATGTGCACAAAAAACCCAGTGCATATGCGCACGCGTGGAACCCCAGTGCTTGCACACACACAGAACCCTGCACACACGGAACCACAGTGCAGGCACGGAACCACAAGGTGTGCACACATAAAACCCAGCACACACGTGTATGTGGAACCCCAGTGCGTGCGCACACATACAACCCAGCACACACATGTGCACGTGGAACCCCCGTGCGTGCGCACGCACAGAACCCCAACGCACGCACAAGTGCACCCCAATACAGAGGACCCCGTTCCTCAGCCCCTCTGAGAACCACTGAGGCCCCGCAGAGCCCCAGCGCCCTGACCCCAGTGGTCCCATCCCCGCATCTCGCAGGCTTCGAGCTGGCAAAGGAAACGGCACCGGGCGGGCTGGGCACGGTCAGAGCTCCCGGCCACGGGCAGCGGGGGAGCAGGCCTGTGGCCTCCCGCCCCACCGCCC